GTTCCACAAACAATAGTCATGTGCAAGATTTCAGATGAGGAAGAACATATATATATATATTCCTTTCCCAAAAATGTGGCACACTCTCAGATCTTTCTAATACAGTGCAAATTTAAAAAGTTGTGAAAACAAATGGACATTTCGGTCCCACCTGGGTCTTTTATACCAAAAAAATGAGATGGACAGTAACGTACAAGCAGAAATGTAATTATTTTTTTTTGCTGCAAAGAGCATAGGTGTAGATAAAAATACCAAGCATTCTAAAAGAGTTTACAAACTAAGCATATTGTCTAACTTTCCACTGTTCTCTATAACCTTTCATGGTTGGATTTGTCTGTTGCAGAATCTGACCTTTCAGTCAGTTCCATTTTGGCTTCATCTTTGTCCTTTAAAGCCTGCTTCATTCGTACCTTTAGATACCAACCATGGTAGAGTCTTTAGAGACTTCGATTGAATGTATTAACCCTAAAATATATTAAACCCTATTAAAATCCCTCAAGCCTCCCAGTCTCAAATTACATTAGACATTTTGCTGTGGTCAAAATATCTCACCCATCTCCAGTGTTGAAGAAGTTTATTTAAAGCAGATTTGTCATGTATCCATTATATTTAGTAGATATGCATTTGTGAGATGTGAAAAATAACATTTAAAGTACAAATCAACAACTCTTTATCCTCCATCTTAAGTCCCTGTTAATCATTGTTATAAACTCTGCCCTTTACACCTGGAAGTCAGCAACACTTTTCTAATTCTCCTCTTCAATAGCACTGGATTGTAATGTAATTTGCTAAATATTTTATATAATTTAAAAAACAAAAACAAAAAAAACAGCATATAGTATAGGTGATTTTCAATTTATCATTCAAAGGTGTAAATAATTCCTTTTTAACTGAAAGGTCAATTCCTTATTTCTTAATTTAAGAAAACAATGTTGACATTTTCATTGGGGTGAGCAGATCAGAGGAGGTAAGTAAACAAATTTCGCAACACTTTATTGTCATCATTCCCGTGAGGAGATTGTGTGTGCATTTGCAAAACCACTGGGACTGGGGTTCCCCGCCAGCATTTTGGTGTGGCCCCGACCACGCGGAATAACCGCAGGCCCGCATTTAAAGAGCCCGTGGTTGGCCCATGCTCTTGGGGCCACCTGATGGCAATGGAGTTCCTGGGGTGTCAGTGATGATGTCAGAGCTGGAAGCCATCACTTCCTCCCAGCCAACCGAGCGCCATGCAGGAGGAAAGTAGGGAGTCAGAGTGAGAACATGAGGCAGCCACTGGACCCCAGGTAAGTCACTAAATTTTTTTAACAGTTTGTGTGTGTGTGTGTGTGTGTATGTGTGTTTGTGATAGAGAATGTCTGTATCAGTATATCTGTGTGTGTATGTGTGTCTGTCTGTATATCTTTGTGTGTGTGTCTGTATGTCTGTCTGTGTGTCTGTATGTATGTGTCACTGTGTGTATGTGTGTCTGTATGTATGTGTGTGTTTGTATGTCTCTATGTATGTGTATGCATGTGTGTCTGTATGTATGCATGTATGTGTGTGTGTCTACATGTCTGTGTGTATGTATGTGTGTGTGTCTGTATGTATGTGTCTGTCTGTGTGTGTGTCTGTATGTATGGGTCTCTGTGTGTATGTGTGTGTGTTTGTATGTATGTGTTTGTGTGTATGTGTGTCTACATGTATGTGTGTCTATCTATTTGTCTGCATGTGCTTGCTTAGGCAAGTTATGGCTGGCTCTGGTCTCTGGCTCCCACACCCCACTCTGTGACCCAGGTACTGTACTTCAGCCATACCTAGATGGCACTTCTCTGGCTTCAATGTCAGGCCAGCTGCCCGAATCTTATCCAGTACCACCCCTACATGTTCCAGGTGTTCCTCCCAGGACCCACTGTAGATCGCAATGTTTTCCAAGTATGCACATGCAAATTCTTGGAAGCCATCCAGGAGTCTATCCACCATCCGTTGGAAGGTAGCCGGGGCATTTTTCATCCCAAAAGGCATGACCTTGAATTGGTACAGGCCAAATGGGGTGACAAATGCCGACTTGGGGATAGCATCCTCGGCCAGGGGGATCTGCCAGTAGCCCTTACACAGGTCTATGATGGTCAGATAGCATCCCCTGGCAATACGATCCAGTAATTCGTCTACCCGGGGCATCGGGTAGGCGTCAGTAGTGGTCCGCTCGTTGAGTCGCCTGTAGTCCACACAGAACCGGGTGGTCCTGTCTTTCTTGGGCACCAGGACTACAGGCGAGGCCCAAGGGCTGTCGGAGTGCTCGATGACCCCAAGCTGGGTCATCTCCTGTATCTCCTTCCGCATTCCTTCTCGGACTGCTTCAGGGATACGATAGGGTGGCTGTCGTAAGGGGGTCTGTCCAGGGGTCTCTACCTTATGTACAGCTAGGGTAGTATAACCTGGCTC